TAAAGCAGTAGAGTGTTTGGTAAACTTTTTTTTTGTAAAAGTGCTTTTAGCAAAAAAAGCAGTGTTAAAGTGTTTGGTAAAATTTTATGCAAAATCGCTGCAGCGGTGTAAAATGACTAAAAAAGATATGATGTTGAATATTATATAATAATTTTTTTATCTTTTCTTTTATTATGACATTTATAAGATTTATATAAACTATTTATAAACAGTTGTGAGCTTTGAAGAATGTACTTTTACCTTTTTTTATTAAGATATTTATAATTTTTTTTATTCTATTCTTTTCTCCACGAGTCGTTTCTTCTTTACCTTTGTCCTTCTTTTACTTTGCAGAACCTGTGTCTATTCTATCTTCCGCCTCTCATTTCCTCTCTCCCCCTTCTCTCTCTATCTCTCTCTGCTTGATCCTAAGGAAGGCTAGGTTGCGGGGAAAGGAAGGTTGGGTCGCATCAACCGATTCGCGAAAGATGGATGAACTCCGATTTTAGGACTTACCGTCGGTGTTAGCAGTGAAGGCGTTGTGGCTTTCCCGTTGAGATTTTGGGTGTCAAGCAGAAAGGTACAAATCTAGCATTCTTTGTGCAACCTAGATTTTGACAAAGCCTAGAAATTCGGTGAAGAGGCCCCGAATTTCGACAAAACCCAGAAATTCGACGAACCTCCCGCCGCTCCTATCCCAGAAATCCGAAGAAGCTCAAAGTCAGAGAGGATGGAAGAGAGACATGGAGGGGTCGGTGACGAAGTTGACGGGTATAATGTATAATTTATTTAATTGCTAAGGCCATTTTGGGTATTGGAAAATTTCATTAAAGGCCTCAGCGCCTCTTACGAAATCGGTTTGTGCAGAAGTTGGGCAAGCAAAAAAACCGGTTTTTCAAAGCTGGGTTTTGTAACTTTGTGTTTTTGGCTTCTTTTCATCCAAAACTGTGAAAAAAAAGCTGAAAGTTGAATGTTTACCAAACATAAAAAAACTCCTAGCTTTTTTTTATACCCACTTTTTTCAGAAGCACCGCAGTACCAAACCAGGGCTTTGTAAAGACAAGTACATCACCCAACCACCATATATAGCACTTTTGATAGTAAAAACATTCTTTCTAAAAAGGTTTATGTAAATCGGGAATCCTTGGTTTTTTTTTAAACCTTAATTTTCCTCCCCCTATAAACTTGTTTGTTTAGGGGAAAAGCATGAATTGTATTTTTATGATTAATGGTGAAAAGGGAAAAGGTTGATTACACTAAATTTTAAACATGATAACTATATCAAGAAGAAAAGGATGCCTTTCGCTACAAGAAAAGTAAAATAATTGTTATCCCTAACAGAAACGAAACAAGTTGCATGGGGTCAATTAAGTATGCATGGAAGGGGATCAGGGATGTGAGGAGGCAGTGAACATGGAGGAGGGAATAAGAGATAAAAAAGTAGCTTTAGTTTTGCTTATCAAGATATGGTTGTCAAAAGTGTTTTAATCTATGCTTATGACTTTGTTATAGTTTAATAATTGTAGGCTTGTAGCTCATAATAATTAACGGTTGTGAGTTCTGCATGAATGATTTAAAAAGAAAGGTCGCTTAAGTCACGAGAACAATACTTTGGTTCCTATTGCATATATTCCAGGAGTTTTCAAAAGCTATAATCCTAATATGTTCGTACACTGGAACAAACAATTATTTAGTTTTTGGGGATTACAACAAATTATTTAGCAATGCCAATAGGTACAAAAGTTGCGGAGAATGCAACGCAAGAATATACAATTAATTAAAATGATCTTTGAAACTATACTTGAGACTCTAAAGTTCATATTTTGTTTTTCTAGCGAGAATAAAAGATGATTAGATGATATTAACCCTTCGTCAATAATCGCGAGCAACACACCTCCTCTTCTCCGGAGGAAAAAAAATTGCACCAAACCTCCCGGTGTGCGGGGGCCCCTTTCTTTTTTGATCAATAACGATGAATTTCATTCCACACCAATAAAGCATTACACATTTGGGATGGGTTGACTGGAAAATAAAGCAATGGCAAACAAAGACTTCAAAAACCCCCACCTGGTATAACCATCTTCAAGCAGAGAAGGTCCATCAACAGGAAAGAAGCTCCCTGTTTACCACCATCTGAAATCATATACTCCGAGTTTCCGACTCAGCCTCCAAAATTGCCATTAGCCATGGAGGAACCTCCTCAACCCAAGCCATGAATTCATTAAAGCTTAATGCAAATTGAGCCACTGAATGTGCCGCCATGTTTGCTGCTCTTGGCTGCCATTGGCACGCAAAGCTTCGAAAGCAATTTCTTAACAGCTTAATCTCTTCCACTAAATTCCCGTCCACTCCTCTATCATCTTCAACGTCCAAAATACTATCCACCGCTGTTGAAGGATGACAATTTTCATATTTTGTCCAAGTTGAAGGTTGTTCATGAAGAAAAAATATCCCTTTACTAATCCCCACAAAAATATTAGGATTAAAAGACAACTTTTTGTCATGAGTAGCCTTCAACTTGTACAAAATAAGGAAGTTGTCATCCATTTCTTCTTTCAAAATGCCTTTAATATAGTGAATAGTCTTATCCAAATTAATCCTCTTTAACAAACGAGGCCTTAAGAGGCCAAACTAATACCCGCACAGCAAGGATAATTAATGAAAATGATAATGTAGGGCAAAAAGATAGTCTAATTGTTGATTCTCTTGAGATTGTAAGAATAATTAACTTCAAAAGAATGAATGCTTCCTGTGTAGTTGTTAGAGGACTTATATGTGAAACCTTCTAACCCTAAATTATTTTCGATAATATATTGTAACGTATAGTTCAACACACACAACAAGTTAACACAACCATCTTCTGTTTGATGCTTCAGTCGAACAAGCATGCATACTAATTCGAGATGGTAACATAATAACGTTAGAAAACCATCGACTTTGGCAAACTTGTATGATTCTTTGACAACTCAAGAGGTATTGGACTTAATTTTTCCAGCCAAGCCCACTAAAATGTATTCTAAAAAGCCCATCACAGATTAAAACTTGCCTCTCAATCACCTGTCCATAAATATAATTTGCTTTTCAAAAGCTAGTCGTTTATATATACCTTTTTTTTGTACTCACACACAGCCGCCAGAATTTTCAAAGCACTAGGCAAAATTCTTGGTCTGAATGAAAGTGATTATGTTGGATGACTAAAAGGAAAGGCTAAGAAAATCAAATGTGAATCAATAACTTTTCTGTTGCTAAGTTCAGCATTACAACGCATAAATGCACATATGAAACGATAGATCCATGTTTTCAACAGAGATAAGATATATACTTTGCGTAAAGGCATAGCCAAATTGAGTTTTCAAGTTCTCACTGAGTAGTAGGAGAAACAATTTCGTTGCGATTGATAATATATCTCTATCATCTTATCTTACTCGTCATGTCATAACTTTTTTATTTAGTATTTATTCCATGTGCAGGGCAATACTTCGATGAGTATTAGATTCTTCCTCTCCAAAGTTGGAAGAAAAAGGAGCATGTGACTAATATATAGGGAACATTTGGAGTTTTTAGTTTTCACTTCCTACTGGTGATAGAAGGCAAATGCATAGCGAAAGGGATGAAGAAGAGTATATATATCCCATCATAATTCTTCACCCTCGCATTTCTTCCATATAAATTTTCCTCACATCTCAAGTGTGAAAAGTGAGTATAAAACACTAAAAACAAAAACGTCATCAAACAGTCTCTTTGAATATGAATCTTTTTAATTTTCCTATGGATGATTTGCATTTGCATGAAAAAATTCACGTTTAACTTGCCTTACAAATGTGTATGTGCATGAATGGTCCTGCCGATACTCTTCCTAGGTCGTATTTTTGTCGCATCAGCAATGAAGTCAATGTGAACATTTTCTTTATTTGATCACAAGTAAAGAATCTTTTGTAACTTGTTCAACACAAAATCTTGATTATAATTAAGGTGACTAATTAAGATGTTTAGAATCTTAACTTAATTATTCAACACGCACACTAATTAAGCTGTGATCTGGCTTGTTTGTCCTAATTTGTGTTAAAAGTGTTTTTATCAGGAAAAAAAAGTTTAGGAAATTAGCTAGAAAGAAGATAAAGATTTACAGATTATATCTTGCAACTTTTGGAATTAAAGTTCTTAAGAAAAATAAATAAATAAATGGATAGAAATTAGAAATCGAAAAGAGCATAGCCAAGTTGGATTGCTTTCGTGCATGTAGCGTTGTAATGTCTAGGTGTAAAAGCTACGTAATTGATCGAACCTTTTTATCTACAAGAAATTGTTGCAAAGGCAGTTTTTATCTACTCACTTTGGCTGTTTAAAAGCATTAGAGGAGTTGACTGATACCACATTATTTATCAAATAACATCCTCTAGTTTATAGGGTTTTAAGGATATCATTTTGTTCGGTTAAAGGAGTGTACTTCTACAACTTGATGGTTCAACATATCTTTGGAATCAACCTTAGTTACACATATTTGATAGTTTGTTAATTAATTGTTAACATGCTCTTTGTTGATGACTGTTTAGGTCAACAAACAAAAGCATGAAATAAAACTATGATCATATTTTGTTCGGGCTTCCGTAATGCTGACCAAAATAGGCGTCAACAAACAAAAGTGTGAAATAACACCATGATCAGATTTTGTTCGGGCCTCCGTGTTTTATCATTCCTTTCATTTTTCATGCATGGATCTCACGTCTTGATAGTAGAGGGGTGGCAAATTAATCCATAGTTGTTAGTGAGTACTCATAAAACACATTTAATTTGATATCGCTATCATATAGAAGTCAAATGTTAGGATTGGTGATAGTGTAAAGTAAAATCAAGCTAAATGGATCTTAATGAGACCTATTAACAATTTATTGAGTTGATTTGTCTCCTCGACATGGTACTATCAAGCAAAAACAGGCATGATGCATGTTGCATCACAAAGCACAATTAATCTACTAATTAAATGCGTATAAAATGCTTCGTAACAAGAACGTGACAACAAATTAAGGCATATATGCAGTCAACTTCTGATAAAGCAATTTGGAAGTCACATCAACGCCACGAACAAAAGAAAAATAATAAAAGTTAAAATACCAACTCATATAACATATTAAAAAAAAAGAACATTAACCCATATTGTTGGATGTAGCAGCAAAAGAATTACATTTCCAGCTACTAATTATATCTGCTCCTCTACTATATAATTATTTACCTCACAATCTAAAATCCGAAAATCGAGAATAATTAAGAAAACACAAATGGAAAACCCTTCGTGATTGTGGCGGCAAAAGCAACGCTCATGATTTGTCCTTTTATAATCAGACGACGTGGATCACATCATCACATGGGACCATAGGCTTTGCTCGACGCCGTATAAACCCAAATGCAAAGTTGTAACCTCCGATGGAATCGTGGGGCCCATTTCCTCCTGCGTCGGCTTCCAGAAAATGTCAAGGTGTTTGGGTCCACCACGTAATCTCGACAGTCGAACTGTTAGGTCGGATCTCCGATGAGATATTTTTAGTGTGAAATCTGCTACAGAGAATCAAAATAGCGGCAGCAACCGCCAAGCTGCCGCCATAACAGTGACGGCCATAACGACGAAGTTGGGCATCGTATTACGTAAACTAGCTGAGACATCGACTGCACCAGGGACCTGCCCATTCGACGATTTCACACTGCAAAACCCACCGCCAAAAATTCATTAAAAAATCAATACATTTTAAAAATAAATATGATAAAGATAATGTAATTAAATACTAATTAAATAATTAGCAAGTGTTGCATGTTGTGCCAATTACTTGCAATCATAAAGCAAGGACGGTGCCTGTATTGATGCATGTCAATTATTAAAACAAAAACGTGACGGCCATATCTTAACATGTTTGGCTGACAATCCAAAAATGGTCGAATCACAACCCAGCTTGTAAATTAAAACATAAACGTTTTCGCTAACTTAGGCATACAAACAATTTCATCAATCATTCATACAATTTGGCAACATTGCATATTAATTTTGCTCACTTATATAATTCTTTGATGCTACAATAACGCTGCATAATATGTTATAAATGACCTAAATAATACATTTAGAACTTTTTTTTCGTAAGAAAATATCGAACTTGAGAGCTGTTTTACTACTATTTACAATGATCCTACTATAATAAAACTAACGCATGCTTAACATGTCACCCGCCATTACACCAAAACAAATACAGCTTACTGAAATGAATGTGAGATACAATCGTTTAGTGGGTTATTCAACACCAATTAACAACGTAAAACACTGAAAAATGTGGTCAAATTTCGATTTAAATCTCTAAAATCCAAGAAAGTATTAAGCAAAAAAAAAAGAAAAAAGTGAAAGATGTTTACCTTGTTGAAAGAGCAGGGCAGAAAGTGATGATATAATTAGCGGAAGCACAGGTGAAGGTGCTGGTGCCGTCATCGTAAGCATAGCTGTAAGCTTTCGGGCACGCAGTCTTAAAAAACTGCGAGTAAGAACTCGGCTTGCATGTGTCCGGCGTGGCGTAGGCCCCACTACAGCAGTATTGAGGGTCCCCGAACGCCTCGCACGCGCTTTTACAAGCCACGCCCTCGTCACTCGCTGTCACCTTCAGCTCCGAGGGGCACCCGGCGTTCAAGTCCACCACGCACCCGGTGGTAGTGCAGTTCCCTCCGGTCCCGCCCTCAGCCACCACCAACATGGGGAGATTATACCCGTCGACCAAACTCACGTCGTAGAAGTCCAGCCCGCCCGCGCCGTTCAATGTGAACTCCGCGAGAGTAGCAGGCGGAGCGGCTCCCCTGCCGGCACATTCGACCGCAGAAGATCCGCAGTCGCCTGTCACACAAGTGAACTTTCCGGTGGTTGAGTCCTGGGAGCAGAGCGTCCGCCCCCATAACCTACCCGACCACGAGGTGGGAACAGAGAACATGTTAGACTCTCCAGGACCCAAGGCGAATCCAGTAGTGGGTAGCTGGTCCGTCCCTGCATTCGACAAAATGCCCGGCCATATGGTGTTGGTGCACTTGTTTGTGATCGTGAACGTCGCCGAGTAACCGACTCCAATGGATTGAAGTAGACAGAGAAGGAATAAGAAGGATGAAAAGGCTTGATGGGAAGCCATTGGAAGTGAAATGTTTTTTTTTGTACGATTTTGTTTCAGTTGGCCATGTGGGAGATGGGGTATTTATAGGGGGACAATGATTGTCTGCCCTTTCACTTTTGGTATCCTCTCGTGTTTTTTTGTTTGTGTGATCACGATTAAGTTACGTTAATATTTTATATTATTATTTAATTTTATCTTATTATATTTATAAAAAAAAATAATATAAAATATTAACGTAACTTAATCGTGACCATACAAAACAAAAAGACAGAAAAAACACCAAAAATAAAAGGCAGACAATCTTTGTCCTTATACGGGAGGGAGTGGAGAGTGCGAGTCATGTGGAAGAATATGGGTGGGGCCTTGGTGGGATCAGGACCATGTTGCCACACGGATGGCAGAGATGTTTGAGTGGCGGCAACTTGAGCAGAGAGAAGGCATCGTGATAATATGTTTAAAAAATGGCATACGGGAGAAGAAAGGGCTTTTCGAGGCCTGTAAGATCATTTTCATCCGTTCTGGTCGATTTGAATTTAAACCACTTATTATGGTAGTTATTATTTACTCTCTATTTATTGTAATACTAACTATCATGGCAGTAATTATTTTCAAAAATTTATTTAACTTTTTGGTCTAATTCAATTACTTAATGATTATTGAACAGATTAAATTAATTTAGAATAAGTGATTATTATTATGTTACGTGACATATCTATCGCAAAAATGTTTAGATTCTCTAATAGAATTGGCAGTCAACAATGTGGATTCGGCTTTGACTTCATTTTCGACGAGAGATGTCAATTTTGTAAGCAAAAATCAAATAAGAATGTAGAAAATGAATAAAATGTAGAAAAATAAGAATCCAAAAGACGTTGGTGTAGGAAGTTAAAAAATGAGTTAGTATTTGTTAGGAAAAATTCAAGTTGGTGTTCAAAAATTAAGAGATTTTTCAAAGCGTTCGAATACAAAGTGCATTATATGTTATTATATAAGTTGAAAAAATTCTTTTTTTTTTTTCTTTTTAAATGTCTCCACTTGTATTATAACTTACACCGAAAAGTCTCTCCAGAAATTCACATGTTTGGTTTGGATTTGGGAGTGATTTGCGCCAGACTCATGAGCTTTCAGCATGTGAGTTGAAAATATCAGTCCAGTGACTAGTCAACGGAGGGAGCATATATCCAACTTACACGTGGACTTTTGGGACTACTGTGTCAGAAGCAACAGGAGTCATTCATTATAGAGCTGCCACGTGTTTGATAAATCCTGACACCAGTCTTCCTACCTGGGGGAAAAGTTCATTGCCTCTTCTTTTTCCTAGGAATCCCGTGATCTCATCTATTCATTATATATTATGCAGTCAGTTTTTGTTATGTACTATTTATATTTAATTTTAAATTTTAAATTTTGAAATGATTTATAACTGCACGATATAAAATGAACAAGTGAGATCACCAAATCCCTAGGAAGAGATCTGGCGAGGATCATTTCCCCTCCTTAGGTGTAGGCAACACAGTTACGTAATCGGAATCAAATATCAAACTCTTCGTTTGTAAAACGTGCGATGTATTTTTTTCAAGCTCAAGTTAGGCTTGACTTGGCCTTTATACGAGCCGAGTTCGAGGGAGCTTAAAAATTTTGAACCCGATACCAAGCTCAAGTTGTTTCGAGCTATTTCCGATACTAAGTTGGTACAGTTGTTAAAAAAATTTGCAATATCGTGGTGGGTTTAGGCTTAAGATCGAGCTGACTATCAAATATTTTTAATATGTTCTTACGTAGTAATCACTACTATACATATAAAAGCATTAAGTTTATAGCAATATCTTACTTCTAAAATGTTTTGAAACGTATACTAGGACTGGGAACAATGAACAAATCGGCAGTGCTTATGTTGTTTTATGATTTTGGCTTCTTTGAGCGGCAACCATGAAGTTTTATTTGTACTTAGTTCCCCATGAAAGAAGAAATCCTATCAAACTATATATTTACACTGAGTGAGTGGAAGAACAAATTGGTTGCAAACTTGTCATTCTCGAGATTCAAACCTAAGACCTCACATTCGTAATTTTTGAATGGCAATAACGATTTTCTAATATTTAATTTTAGTTGGCGAGAGGTGGATTGGTCTTCAACAAATATAAAATATGTGGGTTACATGAGATCATCAATTAGAAAATGATATGCAACCTTAAATTTCAGTGACCCCGAGCTCGCAAACGTTGCTTTCGTTACAAGTAGGCAACTTGACAAACAGCGGAGGCCAAGGTTTGGGTAAAAAACAGAAGGGTAAGCGTCCTTTGGAAACCTGAAGGGCCAGAACGACAGAAACCCAAAACATTTACCAAAACCTGAAGGGCCAGACAGACAGAGACCCAAAACATTTACCAATTGCTGCAACCCATGCTCTTTGGGTCACTTCAAAACACAATTTCAGGTTAACCCAGAAAGTGAAATTAGATGACAAGCATCCATCTCCATCAGATTTGGAAACAAAATTAAGACCAGATGTTCACATTTAGCTGTACCAAGAATTATGTTTAATTAATGGGATGTGCTAGCGAGACTCGTCCAAAAAGTTATTCCGCCAAGACTCGCTTAGCCACGTAGCTTTTAAAAAACCCTGACTGAATTTTATCTGGCACCCACATTTTAAACAAAACAGAAATAAAACTAAAATGTTCAGTGTCATACCTTGGAGATGTAAACAACGGGTTTGGGCCGTTGCTATCGCGACTCGAATCAAAATCCTGGTTCAAGCACCTTCACGAGTCAAAATAGAAGAATATGACATCCAGCTAAAGCTTCCTTTGATTTAAGATCATCTGAGATCTCCAAATGCTATCTCAGCTAGAAACTATCCCTATTCCCTAATCACTATCCTCTATCCATACAAAGCAATAAGCAGGGATCGGTCGAGAAAGAAAAACGATTCACTTCAAGTCTTTAACGCATGTCCCCAGCTAACTAAAACTCTTATGGTGCATTTGTTGCACCGGACTGTCTCGGACTGAACTAGCTTCAAGAACTAAACTGGATTGCTTTAGACTAGACTAAGTTAGACTAACTTAGTGAAACGTTTGGTGAAGTATCGGACTAAGAAGCATGACTATAATATTATATTGTTTAATCTATATCTATTAATATTTTATTTTAAATTTAATATATCAATTAATATTTTATATTACTTTATCTTTTTCCCTATTTTTCTAGAACCATCTACCTCTCCAATCTCTTCATTCATCTTTTTCTCCGCCACTCCCTCCCCATTCCCCTTTTCTCCCATTTTTGTCCCTCCTTTTCTTTGTAACAATCTCCTTCGCCTCAATTTTTTTTCTCCGGTTTTACTTCTGTACTAGTGTCCCCTCTCCCCTCCCTCCCTTTGTATTTATTTTTCTATTTTCTTCATATTCGGTACCTGTATTTTATGAACAAATCATAGTTGTGCAAGAAAAATCATTCAAATTCACTTCACCCGATGCTAAAGTTTTCAATCTTGCACCATTCCTTTGCACGAAATTTCCCTAACTATGTTTCCAACCCAACCCTTTGCACCCAAAACTTTTTAATTTCAAAATCCGAGGTCACAATCTTTGAGCAACGATGTTGTCGACGGAAGAATCTGGGTCACCATGAGCAACGAGGTTGTTGTTGTCCAGCCACCATGGCTGATGTCGATGGTGGAAGAATCTAGGTCATCACCTCTGATCAATGATGCCAAGCAGCCCAGCCACCATGAACGTCTAAAGCTTCAAGCAGAGAGAGAGGAAATACAGAAAGAAAGAGAGAAGCGGGGACTGGGTAGGGGCGAAGCGAAGAGGAGAGGGTCTTAGCAGTCCGCTCCTTCTTGAGGGGTCTCGCTAAGACCACCTAGCGAGTGTTTTGGTCGGAGCGAATCCCACCTAGTCTCATTAAACTTAGTCCCTCTTGCAAACAAACAGTGGGACTACACTAGCTTTTAGTCTAGGCCAATCCAGTGAGGCCTAGTGAAGTTAAACAAACACACCCTTACAGCTACAAGGAAAGTTATACAGTAACCTTAAAAACATGAGGTTATACATGAAGGAGACCAGACATAGGCAGAAAGGATCAATAATACATTTAACAGAAGCGCCACTCTAATCTACATTTCAACATTTGAAGGGGTACGCAAGCCACAACCGAAAGGGTTCGCAAGCGTGTCAGTTCCCATTAAAGCTTATGCTAGTTTGACAACTTACCTCAGGATATACTCACGCTTCGCCTGGAAGGCTTAAAAAGATTTTTCTGGGTAGAACCAAATAGACCCAGATGGGGGTGACAAGCTGCTTAAGTCTGCAGCGCTGCCCCCCACCATCACTTAAGCAACGGCAGATGACAAGCTGCTTAAGCCATCACTTAAGCAACAACAGATGACAAGCTGCTTAAGTTTGCAGCGCTGCCCCCCACCATCACTTAAGCAACAGCAGCAACAACAGATGACAAGCTGCTCAAGTTCATTATATCACATGTATATAAACAGAATACCTATGCATACTCATGAACATAAGGATCATGATCAGCTCTTCGCTCGCGAATACATCAACTGCAATGATCACAAATCCTATCCCTTATTAACTAGTAACAAAAATGCAAGTGGTTCATCTCTTTTTCTCCAAATGTTGGAAACACCTAATCTCTCAACATCAACAAGATGTAACAAATAGCAAAGTTAAACAGGATTCCGGTACACAATGCAATATCAAGTTATTAACAACAATGAGAAAAGCAAGTGGCAATTGCTAGGCTGCAAACAAGACGATAATCAGCTCTATCGCCTAAAGTTAGAGACAATTGAAGACATTTAATTCAACTTCTGCCAAACCGAAAATAACACAACAAAGTCAAGCCACCACACCAATACATTGGAGATACCATAAATTCACAGTTGAAAACAAAATCAAGAGCATGCCACAACATTTGAAAAAGTCTAATTCAATTTCCAATGAAAAGAACATCATCAAACCACACACATTGTTCAATTATCGAAAGTAGAGACCAAGGTTAACACTTAAAATAAAAGGCTTTCAATTTAATAGCCCCTAGCGTCACCGATAACATGATAAGAAGGATTAATATGAAAAGGCACCTAGTTCTATAGCCGAACCGCCACATATATGCATGTGAAAGGGGAAAACTTGTTCGCCAAACAACGGCACTTATCATCGATCAGAAAAATTAAATCCCTTTTGCAAAAACCATCATATGTATATCCCACCAAAACGCAAAATTAAGAGACCCAAATACTAAAAGACTAATGATTTAGCAACAAAAAGATTAAAGATTCTTGAGGAGAATATTTACTATTACTCTCTCTCCTCTTTTATTTCCTTCAAGCGTTGGGATTAGGAGGATTAGCACACTCCTTAGCAAAATGCCCTGCTTCCCCACAGTTATAACAACCTGATCCAGAGCTCAATCCATATCGTCCGCCTCCACGAGCACTGCTATCGCCGCCGCTGCTGCAATCCCTCGCCATGTGGCCATATGCCCCACAGCTATAGCAAGCACCAGAACCAGCACCAGCGCCGCCGCCTCCACCAGTAGCACAGTCCCTCGCCATATGCCCAAATGCACCACACTTGTAGCAGCCGCCGCCGCCGCCGCCGCCACCGCCACCGCCACCTCCACCACCACCGCTAGTCCCATTAGGGCAGACCCTTGCCACGTGGCCATACCCACCACAAGTAAAACAGCCACCACCACCGGCTCCGCCACCTCCACTGCCCTGACGGCAATCTCTAGCCATGTGCCCAGGCTCGCCGCAACTATAACACCCATCGCCACCGGCACCGCCTCCATTCCTCCTATCACCGCCTCTCCATCCACCTCCAAATCCAAAACCGCCACCGCCACCACCGCCACCGCGGCCCCCAGAGCGACCGAAGTTCTCCTTCTTGTTACCGACCAACGGCGCGCCGTTAGGTCCTGTCACATCGACGGCTTTGGTCTTGCCGTCGTCACCGAAGTCGATAAAGAACTCGACGGACTCGCCCTCCGCGACGGTGCGGAAACCGTCGGATCTGATCGAGGACTGGTGGACGAAAAGGTCCTCGCCTCCGTCGTCGGGGGTGATGAAGCCATAGCCCTTGACGTCGTTGAACCACCGCACCTTCCCGGTCGATCTCTCCTCCGCCATGGTTGAGGGTTAAAATTCTGATATGGATTTACGCGAGGGTTTGAAAGCGATAAACAGAGAGAGAGAGACCGATTAGACAGAGAGAGAGAGAGAGAGAGAGAGAGAGCAGAGTTGCAGTGAAGGCAACGGCAAATCTAAGTAAAAGAATTTTATTAATTTTTATTTATATAAAATGAAAACCCTAATCCGTGTCAGGTCCGTTTCTTAATGCCCTTTGGGCTTCTTTTACTTTAAGCTTTTTAGGTGCTTGGATCAGCTGCTCCTCCATGTACTACAACAATCCTTCAACCTCTAAAATTAATCCTTTCCTGTAAAATATTCTTTTTGTTGCAATCTTATTAGATTAGAAATGTGATTGTGTAAATCCTAGTATATCTAGGAATATCTGTTATATTCTTATTAGAAATTGATTACCTATTAAGAGTTGTAATCCTAAAAGGGTAAGGAATTAAACCTTCCCTACTAAATAGAACACACATCACAATTACACATCTCTCTCTCTCTACTCTTGATGCACCCCTCTCTCTAAGGCATCCATAATTGTTCAGGAAATTATGCCTACAACACGTTATCAGCACGCTCTTGACGCTACACTAAAAAGAGTTTATTCTTCAATCAGGAGAGTATTACGTATTAATAATTCTTTTTTGTAGTTAATTAATTATTTTATTGAATTGATATACATGCTATTGATTCAATTTAATTTTTCTGTGTTGAACGTGATACAACGCATTGGAGATGTAATTCCGGCTTTCTGAAAATGATCTTCTACAAATTCAAAGGTTTTTGTTGTTTTCTACCTATTAGGTACGCTTAAAATAAAGTAAGATATTTGAAACAACCAAAAAACATGAAAATATTCCCCATGATGCATGAATCCCCTACATTTATATTTACCTTCCAATATATATATATAGTATACGTTTAACATATTTGTCAATATTTATATATGTTTCATGCATTACCCAATTTTTGCTATGTGTAATTTATGAGTTAAAGAATATAAATAAATTAGAAGTATATTAGGGTTTTTCAAACCCTAGAAATTTCGAAAAAATAAGGAAAAAAAATTGGACATAGTGCGGTACCACTGCCGTGGCACCATTGTCGGCAACACCATGCACTGTCGTTGGCCTGAAGCCCAACTGCATGGACCACAGCAGCAGCCCTTTGGGTTTACTGCTCCTACACGCAGGCAACCAAGCTTCGGCCTGGGGTATGTTTCGACGGGCATGAAGCCCGGAGCCCACCTACAGCTTGGCCTGACTCGCCAGCAAGCCTCTGTGCTTGCTAGGCTTTATTTTTTGCCCCGGCTCGTAACCAATCAACCAGCCCAGTAGGCTGGGTTCCTTCCCCCAGTCCAAAGACAAGGCTCCAGCTTTGGTTAGGCCTTCCGTGTGCCAGCCCACAAGCGAGCTTCGGCTGTGCTTGTCCCACGCGCCCTTTTTTTCCCAATACCAGTAGCCTTGGCTACTGGGCATACTCTGTGCACTTGGCCTGTAGCCTGCAACCACCCGTGGGCTACCTTTTGCAGCCAACTGGAGCCCAAATTTTTTTGGGCTATGTTTTTTCGACCCAATGCTATTATTTAGCATTCTAAATAATTTTAACTCGAATGTTATAATTATTTTTGCTTCTATGATCGACCCTGTTTGGTCCTGATTTATTGAATTAATTAAAAGTAACCTACAGTCCATTAATCTGATAATGAATCTAAAATTATTGACCTGAAGATCAATTTTGGACATTAACGATTCAATAATTTATTTATCTTCTTTGAACTGTGACATCATTTCGTGGTCCCGAAGCGCTCACACTTGAGTTCTTGAAGCAACTCAAATCCACTACACTTAAATTAGCATATTGCATTATGTGCTATTGCAGGAACCTCTCTTTTATAAAATAAACGTTCATAAAATAAATTGAACCTGTAATTTCAAATTTAGTGCCTTTAAAACTCACAGTTTTCATAAAACAATACACCCATGAAAACCCAACGTTTTTCATGAAAACCATGTCTTAGAATTCAAATGTTCTAACTTTGATGCTTATGGATGATTCACTCCCATAGCACCAATCACAATCTTGTTCCTTCCAATTTAGTGGATGGTCGAATCGTCACAAGTTTGATTTTCCTTGATTTGGATGTTTCTAATAAAAACCATTTCATGTGAGGTACAAAACGCGAATCTCCACTTGACTATCAAGTAGTTGAGAAACCATTGAAGCCAACAATGGTAAGGAAAAGCTGAATAGGCCTCCGCCATGATCTTCATTCGAAGACTTATACCTAAAGCATTACCCACAGAAATACCTCCCGAACGAGGATTCCATGGCTCTTTGGCTTGCTTTTACGGACCGTCCAATCATGAAAAATATTGCCTAAAGCACACCATGATTACGTCCATGAATAAGTACAATTCTGAAGTTTATAAATCCGATAGAATTTTGACTAGAGAATACTTTTTCTCGTCATTCCATGTTTCTAACTTCCTCTTAAGGCAGCAGTGTAGAAGGTGGAAGTTTACCAAATTCTTGGATCTGATTACTACGACAAACGTGAGAGAAAGGTATAGACCTAGATCGGCTGAAGTCTACTGAATGGCCTGACCTAGTTCGGTCAAAACCTACCGAATGGTGATGCCCTGCTTTGGCAAGGATGCACCGAAGGGCATGCTTTGCTTTAGCAGAGGTGCACCGAATAGTACTACTCTGCTTTGGCAGAGACCTATCGAACAGAACCCTTCAGCTTCGGCTGGAGCCTACCGACCCAATTCGGGGTCTGTCTCTCTCACAATCCAATTTCGAGTTTGTTTTTACAACATATGGTAGAATCAAGGCTTGCCAAGGTGTGGCATCATGCCCGAAGCATGATCTTTGGCACCTAAGACCTAAAGCTTCAAAAATAAGGGTTAATATTCCCGAACCTCAATCCTGCAGAATTTACTTTCGTCTAGATGGAATAGATCATTGGTTATGCACATGTTCGTGCCTCTACCAATGTCGTTGAGGAGTACCATTCTTGTAGTCAATTTATGAGACTAATTTTGCTCCACCAAACATCGTTGAAAAAGCATAATTTTGACATGGATGGCCTTGATGACCCAATTCCCTCAGTAAACCATTTACTTTGTGAACATTTTTCCATGTTCTTGGATTCAAGTTTGGTGTATGTTTTACTTATGGATAATCTTATTAATATTGTCTTTGAATATGAGTTAATTGAATCATGTTTCTTAATACATGTGACCCAATTCAATTAAACACTTGACTAGGTAGGAATGTGGGAAAGTTTGTTGTCTGGATGAATGCGATACTATGCACACTAACTTTACACCTAAATCACATATCTAACAATGACTTCAGGTCTATCCAACCTGATTAAGAGCTTTGGCACGCTTCTCGTTGTATGAATGGTAATGAATTACCATTTAAGGGACCTTAAATTCTCCCTGTCATTAAGTTTTTAAGGATTTTCGAGAGAACAATGATCATCAATGAAACCACTGAAGAAAATAGAGTGAAATATATTTGCACCACCTCGAAAAATGAGCCCGAAGCTTTGATTTAGGGCCAATGTGTTGTCTCCCAATTGGAAACACACCACATGTGGCCGGCTTGGAGCCTGGTGATTAAGCAGTTTACTTGTTTTGGTACGACCATTTAGGGACACTTAGGTCGAACAATGATGATACGACGCATCTCTTTACCCGAAGTAACGACCTTGTGCCTACAAGTACACTTTGCCAAAACTCCACTCGTTTTGGGAAATTTGATTTCTAAATCATTCCTAGTAAAGATACAAAACAATCTCTTTCCACAGTGGATTCAAGGGAATATATGTAGACTAATCCAACCAAAATGCAGACCATATAAATACTTATGATTTTGGTTGATGAATCAACAAACTGGTCGCATGTTTGTCCACACACATTGCTGCTAAACTTCCTGGCCAATTAAAGGCTCACCACCATACTTATCTCTTAAAATTCGGGAGACTGGATAATGCCAGAGAGTTTATGTCGATGATTTTCGATAAAGTAATGCATGTCTTTTGGGTTTATAATTGAACATTGAATTCCTATGTATATCCCAAATAGCCTCGCCTAGTGATCATAAAGCACAATTTAAATGATTACCCAAATTTTGGTAAATGTACCAAGTTTTTGGTTTTTGCTTAGGACTATGCAATCTTAACGCAGTTATGTTGGTCCGCCTTGAAGCCCATTACCACCCAACCTATTTGACGTTACAGTTGGTTATTGGGTATGAACCTGACGTTTTTTGTATTTACACATTTGGGTGTGCATTCTATGTGCCAAGTTGCGCCACCGCAATGTACCAATATGTGTCCTCAAAGAAGGATGTAAATCTTTGTCGATTATGATTCTCCTTCACATTAGCTCTCTTAAAGCCTTTGCATACGATCTCTTAATCGCTCATTTGCGAGTTGTCACTTCAATGAGATGAGACAATCTTCCCACCGTTAGAGGAAGATAAGAACGTCAACGTTCCTGTAGAACGGCTTGAAGTTGCATGGACGTTGCCCACTATGTCTCATCTCGATACCCATACCGCACAAGTGTGATAAGTAAGTGCGATGAATTCTAGCTTTCAGAATGTTGCTCCAAATGCATTCCTCTGATCTAGCTTAAGTGATGAAATCATGTACTAGCTACAAACATGCCTGCAAGGATAGGCGTACTTAATGGACGTTGAGTCAACATCCCTTGAGGGTGTGCTGTCCCTATTAGACGATTTGGTACACTGGTGGATAGCCAATCAATTTGTCTTTGCCTGGAGCACGACTGATCACTCGATTTGTAGGATTCACTTTCATAGAAGAGGAAGACACGGTGCAAAAATGAATCTATACTCTATCACTGTCTTAAATCATTTCCATCTCATGAGATTAATCCGGATTATTCCTGAGACTTGAAGTTCTTGGTCCAGTATATTAGTTTGGATGAGAAAATTGAATTGAAATGAGATTACCATCGATGATGTTTTCACTTATATGGTA